CCCTCAGCACCTTCCTTTCTGCCGTCACAGTTTCTCCTCCATGCTCCCCCGCTTGCCGGTTCAGCAGCCCACACTTCACACAGCAGCAAGAGCAAAGCCCAGAAGGCCACCAACATAGAAATCGTTCTGGCTTTCCAACTGACTCCCTTATTCCACCCCAGGAGAGAGTATGACCTCCAAGGTCTTTCACAACTTGGCCTCAGCTCCAGTTCCCTCCCACTCCAAGAATTTCGGGCTCCAATCATGCTGAAATGACTTGGGGCCGTGTGCCTACCTCCAGGCAACACAGGGTCAAGTTTATTCACACATTTATCCTTTTCACTTAGTTAAAGGAGGACAAATGGGCATAGACTTCCTTTAACATGAATAGAACAATCTATCTGGGGATTATTTATGACATTATGACATGACAGTATTGACAGAGGCAGCTCCAAAGACATAAAGCAGGCTCACCTATAGAAATGTCCTGCCGGGTACAAGTGTTGTATATCAGTGTATTTAGAAAAGATGTCCAACTGGAGGTAGTTAGCTTGGTCTAATGATTAAATGTCTCTCGTGGCGCATCCGTGGTAGCTTTTAGCTTTCATGTTTCACATATTGAATATAGGGGGTCACTAGGCAGAACAGAACCGGGCTTCTAAGAGCCATGGTTTCTGTTGCACCTCCCCTTCCCTTCCCCTTGAATGGTGAGCTAAGAGCAGATGAGAGAGGGTTAAATTATGCTGGGTATTAGGAAGCCATTCTATCCAAGCTAAAACCATCAAAGCCTCCACTCCAGGAAGAAACAATATCATAGGTACAACGAGCTAGTTGCACCAATTTGAGAGAGGGGTTCAGGGAGGGCTATGTTCCTCTTAGCATTTTCCCAGTACAGTGGCTGGCCCACAGCGGACCCTTATTCTGCTGTTCAACCAGTATTTACAAAGCAGTGGTTTTTCCAGGTTTAAATCTTGTTACTACGACCTAAGTCCCTTTTCTGTCCTTGAACCTGCATTTGGGGATGACACAAAGGCAAAGCTAGACTTTGTCTTTCATGGGTTTTTTGTTTTGTTTTGTTTTTAATTGCCTCCTCTCTCCTTCCTTTTCCTACTCCAGCGTTGAATATGCAGGAGATGCTCTGCAAACATTTGCAAGGGCAAAGAAAAATGGCAAGGGACAGAAACCTAGAATAAGTAACGCTGTCTGGTAGGTCTTTATTCTGCAACCCATTTTTGAGACAAGAGAATGTTCTCCGAGGCTAGTGTCCTAGCTTTTTCCCCAGAGAATCCTGCAGTCTGATGGCTTTTGTTACCTTTGGCTTCCTTCTGCTAGCCCCATGCTGCTGAAGTTCCTTGGTCAAGCCCCTGCCTATCCCACCTGCTCCGCCTTTCTTATTCTGTTCCCATTTCCCCTTTTTCTTCCTCCACAAGTAGATTTGAGACCTGTGCTCTATGGCAGCTGCAACGCTAAGATACAGAAGTATGTAGAGAAACCGTGCTGGGTGCTCAGAGTTGGCTGGAAGCTTAATCTGGTAAGCAGGTGGATACCCATGCACACCACTTCGGATGGTACAGGAAGCCCCCCCCCCAACCCCGAGTTCAAAACAAAGACCATGGTTGACCATAGTGAGGAAGAAAAGAAAATGGGAAGTCATAGGCATGAAGACCAAGGGCATCATCCCAGAAGAGGCAAAACAAGAGTTCAGCCACGAAGACAGAATACATATAAGCTAGTTGAAGAAAGACAGAGTGGGCATTCCAGACAAGGGGAGAGCACATACATTCACACATGCAGTGCATGCATAGGCCAGGAGGTGAGGGGGAAACTAGGTCTGGCTTTCTCTGTGACTTACTGTTCTATCACGCGGTTCATACCCTGGCCACTTACCGCACAGCTAATGGAACGATGCCATCCTCAGGCCTTTCAGGAAATTTGGCTACCCAATCACTTACTCTCTCATTAGAAAGGTAGCCTAGCCAGAAGAATAAACACATTCCTGGGTGCCAACAGGATTGGATGTGAGGGAAGCCAAAATCTCCTATGCTACACAATGCTCTTTGGCTTGCCTTAAGCTGGTTGTTTGGAGAAACTGCAGCCTCTGTAGGGACGGGAACAGGAATGGCTCCAGAAAGGTAACCTTTGGAAACAAAAACCTGATCTGTCAGGATTAGTAAACACCAGAGGCAAACACAGCCTTTTCTGCTCTTCCTCCTCCCTCTCAGTCTAGCAGAAATCCCTATGGGAAAGAGAGACTTGGGTGTGACACCTGGCTCAGAGAGACCGCTGGTTGCCAGCAGTGGCGGCTTCCAGAAGTGCACACCCTCCTTCCCAAGGCCCTTCTTGACCCTACTCCCTTGCCATTTTTCATAGCCACTATCACCTCCTTCCCTCCCAGAAATCCTGGCCCCTTTCTCTTTGTATTATCTCTGTAAGGTTCAATAATTTTGCCCTCTTTCGAGTCGGGTGCTCAGTTCTATAGATGCCATGCTTAAGCATCGTGGCAGAATTTATTGTCTTTTCTCTTCTCCCCTCACCCAAACTAATAGTCCTCAGAGGAAGAGTGTAAAACTTCCCTCTCAGTGGTGACAGAAATCCTGGGCGGGGGGTGTGGGGGAGGCTGATGGAAATCACACAACGCCTGGGCAGTGGAATGAAATACATTCCATTTTGTCAGAATCGACATCTGTGGGAATTTTAAGTCAGAGTCTTTTGCCATGAAGGGCCGCTGATCAATTGCGCCATGGATATCATAATCTTAGGATGAAAGGGTCTAAAGGAAGAGGGCAGGGTTTTTTAGAAACCTCTGGTCCATTTTGAAGCCATTTGGACTAAACCTTTTCGAGGCCAGCACATTTGCAGAGCACCGGGTAGGTCCTCTGAATCCCACCGGCGCAGCTGCTGAGAGAGGGAAAACTAAGAGGGCTGAGCCCTTCTCCCAGTGCAGTTTATTTCTGGGCACAGAACCTCCAAAAACAGGAGGCCAAGGCTGACCTCTTTGGTCAAGAGTCAGCTCAACTTTAAAATTATGATCGCGTGTGAAGGCTAAAACGGGAAAGGAAAAACTTGGTTCTCAGCACAGAAATGCTGAAAACCCTTAGCCTGCATTCCAGTTAGGGTCTTGCCTCGCCCCCCCCCCGCATATAGATCTCCCTTTGGGGGTAGGTGGGTAGGAGACCAGCCAAATTTGTTTCAAACTGGCTGAGTGTCAGGGATCATAGAGTTGACCCTAGAGGTGTCAGTTTGTGGATAAAACTATTGACTGTAGCGATTATGTTTTATAAACCCTAAAAAAAAACAGGACCTTGTGAGCAGGACTCATTGAGAGGGAGGCCTGCCAGTCTTCACTTAGACTCAGTGAACCTTGGAATTGATGAAATGGACAGAGTTTAAGGATGGAGTTTGTTCAGGTCCCGAAGGGTCTTCATAAAAAGTGATCTTTACTGGCAAGTCAAAATAGCAGCAACTCATTCTCAGACAGCTCTGGAAACAAGAAACCTGAATCCAATAATGATTCTTTCTGCAAACTCGTAGAAGACTTCTTCATGACTTTCTCTTTCTTGTTCAGGAGATTTCTAGCAAGCTTTAATATTTTTTTCCTTGGCCTATTAACCACAGAACTTCAAACTCTTAAGCATGTGACATTTCCCTCTGTCTTGTCTACATGAACCACTATTTGATAGATAACAGTTATAGGGTTAAAGTAGACCCCAATGTAATATGAGTTCACTTTAATTTGATTACATCTACCAAGACCCCCTTTCCAAATAAGGTGACATGCACAGATATCCAGGATTAGGACTTCAACGCATATTTTGAAGGATCACAATACAACCCACGGGAATGTAAAATGAGACCAAAATTTGATGTAGAAGGAAAACAAAATCCCAAGGTTGACATGATACGATCTGGCTTTCCATCTGTCCCACTGGGATACTCTCACCCTCTGAAAGTCTTGGCTTCTCTCTGCAAGCAATGCTTGCCCTACTTACTTCAGAAACGCCCTGAGACTAAAACAAAATCATACACGGTATTTTCTATTGGAAAGTGTTTCTGCAAGTGCAAAGGATTATTATGAATTCATTCCAGATTGTGTTGACTTTCCCTTAACTTCGTAACTACTTAATGAGTAGGTAATGGAATAAGAAACACAGCCTGACTTCCCAGGAAGAGAATTTAAATTACATGCCTCCCTGCATTTGGGTTTGAGATAAAATTATAACAGAAATCTGCAGATAAGGCGACTAGTATTGCAAATCCTTGGACGGAGCTTTTTATTCACTCCCAAGCAGGGTGGTACTCAAATGCAGTTAAAAGGTGGCAAGCATTTAAAGCATTCAAATCAAGAGGGACAATCTCAGCCATGACATCAACTGATATCTGCGTTGGCTGTGGCTCGCCTGTTCTCTGGGTGGTCCATATTACTGGATCTGATGATAATGTCCTGAAGGGTTTTATTTTGCAGTGCTGGGTATGAAACCCAGAGCCTCACACATGCTGGGCAAGCATTCCACCGTTGAACTACATCTCACCTCTAACGCTAACATAGCTACTTTGTCCAGTGACTTCTCTGGATATAGCGACAGAGACCACCCAACTTAGAAAATCAGCCCAAGATGGCTTTTTTTTCCCCACCAGAAGGATGGGATATACATAAAACAGAACCATTGTGTAAGAGGCTTGGTGCTCCAGCAGCAAGAAGAAATCTGTTTTCAGGCCACTGGACTAAACTTCAAAGGAAAAGATGGCCCACCCTTGGAAATACCGAGAGGGGGATGATATCATTGGGGTAATGGCTTGAGAACTTTAGCCACAACCCAAGCATCACGTGATCTGCTTGCTTGCCCTGACTTTAGATTGTGGGGGTTTGACGACCTAGGAGAAATCCCACAGGGAAAAAAATTAGCCAGCAGAGTATTTCTTAATTTACCGAACAAAGTGATGCTTCCCTTTCTCAGTGCTGGGAATGTATGCTTCCCAGGACTGTCACAGACCTTCAAGACACACTGGAGCACACACACCAGTTAATAAACAAAACTTTATTTTCCTTTGATACAAAAATTAAATAGCAAGTTTTTTTTAATACAGTGATAAATTAGAGATTTACAGTACAGACATTAATGCAGACACACTTTTGTACATCCTTACAAGGAGGGTCTATTTCCTTTGAGATTCAGCAATTTATTCAGGGCGTGTAGAGCAGGGTTTGCCTGGTACCTCGATATCAAGCATTTGAATGGCCCCAGGTTGTCTCCAGATTTCTGGAGCTGTTAAGAGGCATGAGGATCCAAGAAAACGCCAGAGAGCAACTAGCCAGACTGCTGCACAGAAGAGCTCTAACCGTATTTTATCTTCCTGAAGAGTGGGACTGTCACTTAGTTCATATTTCTTATGAAGAACTCAAGGGGCCTTCATCCTTGGGCCTTCTAAAGCCTCACATCATCTCTGTGAGGTAGAAGAGCCTCAGAACCGCCCAGATGCCCACTAGGAAAGCTCTAGAAGGCAACTTAGCTCTTCCTATGCCCAGAGTCAAGTCAGGCCCTTAGCCTAGTACACTTCCAGGGTTTTGAAACGTGCACAACTTGGGAGGGAGGACATTTTTTAGAGGGTGCAGAGCTCCCCTTAAACCCCTTTCAGAAGCCTTCTGGGATAACATTAGCTGGACATTCCGGGAGATGAGGAAGGCACAGAGCCTCAGAGGATGCCGCTCACAGGGGATTCCAAAAAGACTCTACCAACTGCCTGGGTGAATCCCAGGAATTGGCTGCTGCAAAGAGGCAAATAAGGCAAGTAAGGAACCAAAATAAGTAAGCATCAGGGCAAATGTGCTTCCCAGGTGAAGAGGTGGGATGGGGCTGGGGGTTGGGTGCATGGCAATGGGCAGGAACAGAGAGCTCTATCCAGGCGCCAGCGAAGCAGAATCTGTAACTTGGGGCTTCAGTATGTGATCCTTTGTAGGAACAAAATGCTCTCTCAGGAGTTTCGAGGTCTTTGACCTCGGCACAAAGGGAAGATGATATCCGGGTCCTTTGTCAGACATACCGCAAACCTGGACAGGGACTCTGACGTCAAATACAACAAAAGAACAAAGAGCATGGGCCAAGTCTGGGGACTCGTCATGACTGGCAGAAATGGCAACTCTCTCCGATGCCCTCCGTCACAGGATGGAATTAACACACTAAGCAGTTCCTGCTGGAGTCTGTGCCCTCTTAGTCTCCCTTCCTAACTGTTGCTATGGGCACCTTAGCAGACATGTCATGCTGGTGAAACCTCTTTCAGCTGCGCCTGCTCTTTCAGGACGGAGGATGCCAAGCTCATCTTGGTGTCCCATGACCCAACTTTGCACCCACTCCCGAAGACACTTAATTCTGTGAGCAAAGGGCTGGAGATGTCAGATAGGGCCAGGACAATTCAGGATCTGATAATGGGATGTCTCTGGTTCTAGGTTTAGGGAGTACAAGAGATTGAGTGATGGAAAAGAGAAAGCAAGGGGGACATCTCAGGAAACAGTGTCACCTTTCCCTTGTTTCAGGCCTCTGGGCCCTGGGCCAGCTCAGAAGCCATCTCAGCAACCAGGAAATGGGTCACCACAAAGGAAGAAAGATATGATCAGCCGAGCAGTTCAACCAGGCGGTTCTGGCCACTTCTACCCTAGACAAGCGGTCCTCTGCCCTAAGGTTTGGCTTTTATGATGCAAAGACCAAAGAGTTTATCAAAGAAAAGGTTGGGCAAAGGTACCCTGAGCTATGCTTAATAGAATATCTGGAAGCTTGCAGGCTTTTCTTGAAAATTACATACTCGTTCTAGGGCTCAGAGAAAGGAAAGAAACCCAACTTGTCCCTCAGCAAGCTGCTGTCCTCAAATACACCTACATTAAGTCCCGTGGAACACTAAGTCCTGACCCTCCTTTGCCCAAGGCCACAGTAGGTGCTCAGACCCTGGGGCCTACTCTGATTGTCCTGGGGAGTTTATATGGAGATTGCCACGAAGCAAAACTGATGCATTCTGTTATTAATGTAGAAGGAATTCTGGGAGAAGTAGAGAGACCTAGGAAGAGGCCTGCGAGAGGAGCTAGCAGAAAAACACGATGATGAAGTGGAAAAGTGGCTTGAAGGGTGTTGGTAAGGGACTCCTCGGCCACTAGGTCCTTCTCCTGTAAACTGGGAACATTCTGAATCACCTGGAACATGAACGGGAAGGCCTAACATCCCCATGGCATTGCTAAGACTACCAAAGCAGTCTGGAGTGACAAGCCCCTCTGCTCAAGCAGACAGACAAACTGTCAGGACACTAGTAGCTCCAGAATTCAGAATGCAGGTGGCTTGCTGTTGCCATAGCTGTTGTTGACACCTGCCCACTACTTAGTTCTTGCCCCGCCCTTTGGAGGGCGCTGTCTTGGTCCCACCATCGCTGAAGTATTGCAAAGAGAACGACACACAAAGCCTCCACGGCAAAGGCAGTCAGCCATGGCCTGGTCCTCCATCCCCTTCCTGGGCCAGAGTCACTGCACAAGTCCCAAGACACCACAGCAGAGCGTGAGTAAGGGCAGAATCTGCCCTTGGGTGCACACTCCAGGGCCCTGTGCAGCTATGGGAACTGTCTGCAAGCAGCATGGGGTGTGGCCCCTCCACATTTCCTAGGCAGCTCACTCAGGAGTTCAACTGGCCCTTCCAGGGATCAGTTCTCATGCTCCTGGAGCCTCATGCCCTGGTCCAGCCTAGGAACTTAGATTGTGCAAATCATCAGGGGCCACCCAGAACCATGGAGGTTTCTACCGCACAAGCTCCAACTCTTTTCTGAACACACATTGGGCCTTACATGCATCTTGATCACAGACACCTTGCAAAATCAAAGGGTGTGGGGGAGACAATGTCAAGTCATAGACAGAAAGCTCAAACCCAAAACAAACAAACAAACAGAAACCAAAAACAAACAAAAAATCTTCAATTTTTAAAACTTTCTATTTCCAGAATTTGATCACTTATTTGATTTGGAGTCTGGGAAATGTCTCTCTGCGAAGTATGATTAGGAAAACACGAAGATTTTTTTATTAAAAGGACAAAGCTTGAATCAGCCAAAAACTGCAGTTGCTGAAGCAGATAGGTATGAAACACGAGGAGAGCGACCTGTGACATGTACAACAGTTTGTCCCAGAGATCTGGTGATTAAAAGGCCTAAGGCAGGTTAAGAAAAAGGCCAGCTACAATTGTAAAGACACTGCAACTTTTGATAGGTTGTTAGCGGGTACCCCCTTGTGAGGGACTTAAAGCATAAATTTTAAAAGCTTTGGATACCCCAGCAAAGGCAATTAAGACCCGTGCCGCTGTTAGACCTTGCAGCTCATTTCATACGGTCCATACCATATCCCTTGCTAACCAATCCAGCTTCTGGCTGGCACTCTGGAGATTCATTAGGTACCATTCATTAGGTTCCAGGCCACACCGGCTCTAATGAAATCTTATAAGGAGCCTTTGCCAATTACTAAGGAACAATTATGCACCCGGTATTTAGATCTGCTGTCCTTAGTTGCCTTTGCAAAGCTGAATAAGTCTCCATTGTGGTAAGTCGACCCAACTCCGATAACATTCTTATGCTACAGGGGAAAAAAGGCACTATCGCTCTGCGAATGTAAGCTGACCATAGTTTTAAAGTCAATTGAGTATACTATGTCATGGTCCAAGAATGTGCTCTTAATTGTAATTGACACACACAAATTACACAGTTAATCTGTGTGAATGCAGAGTTGCCAAGAAATTTAACATTTCAGTTCTTCCAGACTGGCGTCTGCCTAGATGCAATCACACGAACTAAAATATTTCAAGTCCCAATTGCTTAGCATTACTTAACGCAATGGGTCTCTGGGGTCGGGAAGGGAAGTCAACTTAGTAAATCTCGTTTTCTTCTGAGTTAAGTGATTGTCAGAAAGTGAATCGCCCTTCCTTCCCCCCTCATTAGGCATGCTGCAGTGCAAAAAAAAATTCCTATAAAAATAATTTTTTTTGAGTCATTAGTGTAAAGTGAAGAAAAGAGGGAGGGGCTGCCTAGAATAGGGATGCTGAAATTTAAGAGAGAGAGAGAGAGAGAGAGAGAAAATCCATTGGATACCTACGTGTGTTAGTACAGTACTTTTGTTTGTTCAAACAATTCTGTTTTACGACAAAGGCACTGAAGGATTTTGACACCACCTCTTGGGAGTGCGCTCCAGAGTTCCAAACAGCCGACCGTGTAGGCCACGCGATGTTTATGTTAGACCAGCCAAACTATCAAACCCTGCAACACGTCTCCCACCCCAGTGTTTCCAGTGTTTATAGATCACTTGGCTATCTGAAAGACCTAGTTACTATTTAAAATTTAAGAGTTTTTTAAAAAAATTAATCTTTCTCCCTGCGAGTTCTCAACTCACAGCTGAAATCCCACCCAGTAGGGGTAAACAGGGAACTTAAGCAGGACCTCAGCGCTCTGAGCTGCGACCTGCTAAAGGGATCAACATTTTGATTTTTCACAGCTTTGAAAGCCTCTCACTGGCTTCCCATCTTAGATCGTTCCAATGTCTGCAGTGGAACCATTGCTTTTATGAGGCTGGGTGTGGTGAGGGGTGCTGGGCCTACAGTGGGGGTGCTAACGTGTTTCTAGTTCGTTCAAACTGAGATTCACCGCGTAATTCCCTCCAACATAAGGAAAGCGTAGAAGCTGGTTAGTCTTAGACAACGGTCTCATTGCCTTTGCCCGGCTTCACCCAACTGTTCCCCCTCTTCTCTCTCTTTACCTTCCCAGAATTCACCAATCGGTTGGAACATTTTTGCCATGTGTGAAGGGTTTTGGCAGACCAAATCCACATGCCTGAAGTGATGCCCACGAGCAAAGACATAAAAATTTTCAACATTTCAACAGCCATATTAGAGTCATCTGCAGAATACCGAAAGAGCGTCCAGTTAGAGATTTCATAGAAGTAACAGGCAATCACGCATGTGGCAGGAACTGTGTATAGGACGGAGAAAACCCCGATCTTGACCATTAACCTTTCCAACTTATCGGTCTTTGTCCCATCTTTTTGAAGATTCGACCGAATTTTGAATAAGGCCACCAAACCCGCTGCAATGAACAGAGTTCCTATCACCAAATAAGTAAAAAGCGGAGCCACCACGAAGCCAGTGAGGGCGTCTAGGTTTTGGTTCCCAACATAGCACAGGCCAGTCAGTTCATCAGCATCCACTAGTCTCATAATCAAGATGACAATGGTTTTCACAGCAGGAATCGCCCAGGCTGCGATGTGGAAATAAGAACTGTGCATCTCAATGGCTTCGTGACCCCACTTGAGTCCTGCTGCCAAAAACCAAGTGAGTGTCAGAATAACCCACCAAATGGAACTGGCCATTCCAAAAAAGTACATCAGCAAGAAAATTATTGCACATCCTGTGTTCTTAAGGCCTTCTTGGATGAGAACAGGTTCTGCCGCCTCTTCAAAATCACAGGATATCCTTTCCCGGCCTACAGTCAGCCGAACAATATAAGCAATGCTATAAATATTATAGCACATACTGAGAAATATGATGGGGCGCTCAGGGTAAGAAAACCTGGACGAATCGATCAGGAAGGTCAGCACGGTGAAGGTGGTAGAGATGAAACAGAGGCTGGCCCACACCGCCATCCAAATGTCCGTAAACTCCTTGGCTGAGCGGCTGTACAAGCCAGCATCGTAGCCACACTTGAGAACGCAGGTCAGGCTTCTTTTCACCCAGATGTACTGATCGGAATTGGTTCCCACGGAGTGGCACTCTTCTCCCGGCTGGATGGGGGTTTTGTGAGGTAAGGGCACCTCTTCATCGCCAGGTCCTTCCATGCACATATGGTTGTGGTCATTCTGGGGTGGGAACTTGCTGCAGTTCAGGCTATCCGGCCAGGCAAAACCAAATTCTTTCAGGACAGGTTCGCATCGCCTCTTGACGGAGAGACACATGCCACCGCACGGGCCAATGGGGATGTTGATCTTCTCCGTGCACATTGGCACATAAACCGAACAAAGGAAGAACTGGGAAAGTAATGAAACGAACAAAAAAAAAAAAACAATGAGTGGCGGAGGGGTTGACCAAAAGCACAAAGCTGAGTGACCGCTTCCAGGCAATATCTAAGCCAGCCTACTGGGAATATGTATGTTTACTCTGACCTGAAACACCGGTGCCTAATAATCCATCACTTTTACAGTTTCCTTAGATGGGCTCTAGTAATCCTTTTCAGAAGAACACAGATGAATTTAGATAAGTAAGAAATGTATGAAGAATCACATAATCTTTTTCACATAAAGCTTATGAAAATAAACTTTTAAAAACTGACTTCCAATATCCCTCTCCTTCGAGCTACCATTTGAAAGATCAAAAGAGTCTATTAAAGTGACTTGGTCACTTAGGTGATGGGTGCTTGACCTTTATCTTCATTTCTCTGTCACCTTAAAAATTAATGTTAACAAAGTGTAGCTCCCATCACCATTCTAGTTTTTCCTAATTTCCATCTTAATTTTCAAAAGCCAATCCCATATTTAAACAGAAAATGTACTAATCTGAGACTCTGTTAGATTCAAGGAGGAGCTATGAGTTGGGGGAGGGGTCTCTGGTCTCCAGGGATTCGTTTGGCTAGCATTTCCGCAATGAATAACAATGAAGCACAATAGGAAGATGTAAATGCTAAGCCCCTGAGATTGTAATACCAGCAGGCGGGAGTCCAGTTGCTGCCCTCAATTCCTCCAGCACTGATAAACAGTCTCCTTGGCTCCTTACAGATGTTGTCTATGAAGTCTAGAGTTACAAGTAACTATTTTCCAGCATGTAAAGGGATCCAGTCTCGTCTTTCAAAACAGCTTGGCTGCTTCCCCAGGATACATGTAATTAAAAATATATATCCCTGTGAAAACTGTTTCTCCAACAAAATTGCCACTGATGTCAGCTATGCCCTGTTTCCAAACGCAGAGGACAGGGTTATTTTTTAAGCTTTTATAATCCAGTTTTGAAGTCCTGAAACTTCCACAAGGATATTTCACCAGCAACAGGTTTAATCCCCACCATCTTCCTCAACCACAACCCAGCTTTTAAAGTGACCTATGTAAAAACACGAGCTGGGAAGTAAAGTGTCTCTGTATCTCTCTACAGCCAGAGCTACAAAGTTCTTGAGGTTTCAGTCTGAACAGCTCTAACCTCTATTATTTTTTTTTACCAGCTGCCCTCTTTTCTAGTTTTATTAAAGTCACTTGGCCTCACCAACCAAAATATGAGCAGTGTTAAATTTTAAAAACTTCATTCCAATCCACCTCCCCATTGAGCTGGCTGTGTATGCGAAAATATAACCACACTGTATATGCAAATTACTTTTCACCTATTGTTGTGGGAAGGATTTCTATATCATTACACATATGTAAGTTTGAACATTTTAATGACTGCCCCCGCCCCCCAAAGGGTGGGGAGAAAAAGAAGTTCTTTAGATAGGCAAACTATCCACCTGGAGCTTTTCCAGTCCCTTCAAAAACTAAACCTGCCTCCAACCCTAAGGATAAGAAAGAACTCAAGCCAGCTCTCTCCTGTGTGACCTCTGAAGAGCGCTGGGTGATGGCGGGGACACTCTGCAGAAAACAGGCGGCGATGTTTGATTTGGTAAACTACACTCAAAAATACAGGGAGAAAGGAGGTCGATGAGTGACCTGGAAGGGCGAAGTTCTGTCTCCTTATCACTCCTTCCAAGTTTTAGGTGCAACCGGCTGCCCTGCCAGGACTCGCCCACTAAGCAGCGGCAGCCGGAATCCTTGGCAAAGATAACCCTCAGCTCCACTGGGGTTAGGGGCTTGGCCAGACATGGGCAGGGGAGAAAAACGGAAGGGCGGGGTGTAAGAATGGGTTCTTTCGCGGGCCAGATGACTTACACAACGTTTTGGCTTCCAGTCTCCAAGAGGGACAGAAAAGTGGGGGGTGGGGTGCGGGCTGGAAATCACTTTTCCAGGAGCTGTACCCTCAAGTTAGGAAGGGAGCAGGGGGCTCGATCTGTCAGAGATTCTAAGGAAGGAGTTTGGGAGTCCCTGTCTGCCGGGTCCCTACAAGGGTGGGGGTAGGGGCGCCCACCTGCAGCTGGCTGGAGCAGCCGTACTGGATGAGCGGCGTGAAAGTTGTCAGCTGCAGCTCGGCATCCGTCTGCAGCTCGTGTCCCACCAGGTTGGGCATCTTGGTCACGTTGTAGCCGAGGTTCTGGCACATGGCGATGCGGATGGGGTCGCAGCGCCTCTCCTCCTCGTCCCCGAAGCCCAGTGCCGGCCGCAGGAGCAGGAGCAACTGCAGCAGCAGCAGCCCCAGCCTGACTCCTCCAGGCGCCCCCGGGACCTTCGGCCCTGTGCCCCGCCAGGCCATGGCCAGAGCCGCGGGCAGCAGCGGCGGGGGCTGCTCCAGCAAACACCCCCAGTTTGCACGGGGGCGCCGGTGGCCGCGCTGCTCCCAGCTCCGGATAGGGAGTCCGGTAAGGCGCCAAGGGCGACGAGGGGGCAGCGGCCGCCTCTCCAGAAGCTGGACGAGACTGTGAGGGGTATCAGACCCCCGGAGCCGGGGCAGAGAGACGGACTGCTAGGGTCATGGCTGCAGTCGGCGATCCCAGAACCCGGCGCCGGCCGAGTCCGGCTTTCTCGGCGAAGCCCGCCAGCACTCTACACCGCGCTGCTCTCACCGCCTCAGCGCACCGCGGCGCTGGAGGTTCGCAGGGCAGGGGCGGGGCGGGGCGGGACGGACAACGTTATTGTCCAATAAGAGGCCACGTTTGGCAGAGGGGGCGGGAAGGGGCGGGGTCTCTCTCCTGCTGAAAGGGTCAGGCCCCGGCCGGCAGCCTGATCCTCCCTTCCCTGACTCGCTCCGGAGCCGCCCCGCCCCGCCTTACTTGGCTTCCAGGCGCTCGGCGTCCTCCCACCCCGATCCGTTGCACCCTGCAGCCAGGCGTCGATTGGAGCCCCGCGGCTCCTGCCCAGCCAACGTGCCCTCCTCTCTCAGGTGAGAAGTGCTCCCGCCTCGACGTCCCGTTCATGTTTGTCCCCTTCCAGATGTCCACTCCAGTCCCTTGGTCACCTCTATATCAAGCAAAATAATGAACACAAAGAACACGACTTTTAGGATTTACACAGAGGGTGACTTTAAATCCTCGCTGTGTGACCTTGAGCAAATTGCCCAATCTCTCAGCGTCAGGTTCCTCACCCGTAAAGTGACTTGGGAGGATTAGCGATAAAGCTTGAAATGCTTAGAGCTGGTGCCTGGTACAGAGCGAGTTCGCAGCAATTTTCACCCCCAGCCCGTGGGGCTGGCGCCCGGCCCCCCGGCCCCGCCCCGCGCTCGGCGCGACCTGCGCCCGAGAGCAGCCCGGTGGGGGAGGCGCCCCGGAGCCGCCGAACAGCCGACGGGCTCGCGCTCCGATTTCCTCACCGTACGAAATGAAATTCCACAGGGGGATTCGAAAGGAAATGAGGCCGGGACGCTCCGTGCTTCTCGGCCCGCCGCCCTTCCTGTCTCGGGGACACGGTTTCTAAATAAGGTTGGGAGGGTGAGAGCGCGGGAGGGAAGAGGCTTGACCTGTGCACCCGAGGCGAGGAAGGCGCACAAGCCACAGGGACGCCCCCTCCCAGACCTGGGGCACCCTTCCTCTGCATCCTGCACTCCTTTCGCCCCCATTCTCGCACTGCATGGAGCTCTGGGGTTCGGCAGACCTTTCCACTTGGGTTCCAATCCAGCTTCTCTCTTTTTCACCCACAAAGGGCTTTGTGTTGGTTCACCCTCTTTCTGCTTCCTTCGGCCAGTGGTACGTTCAGCAGGTGATTTCCTAAACTTTTTGCTTGTTAGTTGTTTGGTCAAACTAATAGGAGCCCCAAACTCCTATTTGGCAGGCCAACTTGTGAGTGAAGTCTATGTTCTTCTGTCTCAAAGTGGTTCTCAGTACACGAGGTAACCTCTGCAGTGTAAATCACCTAGCACGGTGGCTCTTGAATAACACAGAAACTCAGGTATCTTTTGTTGTTGTTGTTGTTAACCGGAACAGTTCCTGAAAGTCAGGTTATGACTACCCAGGCTTGACAGTCTCATTTTAAATACACCTCCGGCAGCCCAGGTTTGAGGGTATGGGTAATCAGTAAACGGAATCCTACCACTTCTTCACATCTGTTTGCCTAAGCACTCCAGTGTTTTCCCTGGAGCTGTTTGTGACTTCCCAGTTCAGCCGATCCTCTGGCACACAGCTGAGGTAAGGTATAAACTGGAAGGATATATGCACTCATATTTTATATTTTTAGTTTTCTTATGTTGGCCGGACCCATTTGAGGGATAAGAATGGAATCAGCTGGTTTTGGCATTTGGCTCTGTGTCTGGAAATGTCGGGGACATCAAAGCTGTATCGTCCCAAACCATTGTCATAACCTCCTGGTAAAGGAAATTTATTGACCCCTTAAGTAGACTGGGAAACTGAGTCTGGAACCAAATCAATAATTTGGAGTGATAGGACTAACCAAATCAGGGCCCAGTCTTTTAAAGATGGAGGGCAAGATTACTACCCAGGAGTTCAGGACCGGGTTGAGTCCTCTGTATGCTGGCTTCAAGACCACAAGCTTACATGGATGCATACATGGTAAGGTGAACACAGCAGTGGCCTAGTCACTATTTGAGAGAAGGAAATCAGATGAATAGATGAAATGAATCCACAATCCCTATCCTCTAGGATCACATACGAGACAAGCAGAGCAGACTCAGTATGGTAAGCACACTGAAAATTGTGAGCAAATTGGAGGGAGAGGTAGCTGAGTCTGGAGAGGGTACTCGAAGAGATAACCCGCGACACCGTGAGCTGCTTCTCAAAGTGAGCTTGGTATACGGCTGGTACTTCTCCTAGAGCAGGGTGCATGTGTGGTTGACTTTAGGAAGGAGGAGGAGGAATCTGTCACTCAAAGAGCATCTGGCACATAGGCGGGACATCATTTGTGTTCGCTGAGGGGGTACTATAATCAAATCAGGAACAGATTTAATAAAAAACCTTATTCTGCACCTTTGTTCATTATACTCCCTATTGTATTTAATGCTCATAACCCCCCGAGAAAGCATGTTCAGAGAGGTCAAACAGTCTGCTCAAGGTGCCTTACTATATGGTAGAGGAGGGCTCAGGCTCATTCATGATAGTCTAATCTTTATGTCCATGTTCCTACTCTCAGAGAAAACGGCTTAATTCTCAGCCTTAGCTCGCATTAAGCCTTTTCTCTCTGGGAGTCCTGACCTTTTCTAGCCTGGAACTCTTCCTCAAGCCAGTTTGAAGCATCTTGTCTCCGGTTAGAACTCACGAAGAAGCTCTTTCCCCGTCAGAGACTTTTCCTGTCAACAGCTTTTCTTTCTAGCCAGGCTATTACTCATCACAGGTATTTTCCAAAAAAGAAAGCCAGGGGAATCACATTTCAGTCTGAATGTGGAGAGAAGACAAAGGCCAGGACTTCAGGCTAAGTCTGGATGGCCCCTTGGCCTCCCTTTGGTGGAGTTGTTCACACGGTCCACAACTGCCCCTGGTACCAAATACAGCATGCTTGTCTTTGTTACAGAGACTACTTCTCAGATGGATCCAGGCAGAGGGATATCAAGCAGCGACAGGCACAGTGTATCTGAGAGGGAAAGATAGAGACACGTGAATGAACCTTCAGTTACCCTAACATACAGGTCACCTGCCCCTAATGGCTTTGTCCCAAGGGCTGGGCAGTTTTTCTCGGTTCAGCCTTCTAGCTTTTAGGATGCAAACCCTTTGGAGCTGCCACAAATGTGACTTCTGCAGTGGCCAGGCAGTTGGAGAATTCTGCACTTGTATCTGTTGAGAGGCTGGGATCCGGTGAACTCCTGGAATGTGATAACTTTGCAGTGGGACATTTCTGCTATATTCGTGTAACGGCGCCCAAGTTAAAGGTTGCCTCTGAAGGGCAGCAGTTAGGGTAAATTCCACCACCTAAGGGGCTGGGTGCAGTAAACATGCTTCCCCTCTGTAGTAGTTCTTTGCTAACCCAATTAAATGTTGAAGTGGTCACCCCAGAGCCTGCTTTTTATTTCCTGAGAAACAATCTGAACTAATCCATATTCAGTAGCTTCTTAGAAAAGTCTTATTCCAACCACTCAAGAAGAAACCAGCTTCTTTGAATCTAGACAGAACGTTTAGAAATCACAAGGAGCCGTCTTGATAGAAAATGCAAGAGCGCAATTCATTATTACTCTGATTGGTTTGGGAGGGAAAATTCACTGGGATTAATACCCGGACCTATTGGGAACTTACCGTGGAGCCTCAGTACCACAGGGAGACACCAAACCACATCCTATTGACTTACAAGTATCTTGGGCACTATGCCTACACTCAAACTAGGTATAAAACAGAAACATGTCTGCTGTGTCAGGTAGGAGAGAACAGTAATCTCACTCCAAGCGAAGCAAATGGAAGTCCTAAGAGACTGAGTAAGAGCTATTAAATGGCAGAGTCAAAGTCCCTTCTTAGTCCCTTGTGCTACTGGTCTGCATCAAACTGTCACCCAGAGCTCTTGTCAAAGAACCAACCAACTCCTGTTTCATCAACCATATTTTCAGCAAGCATGATAAGAAAGATTGGGCATTGTTACTTATCAGTGCTGATGATACATTATGCAGATAAGCAGCCAAGAACAAGTCTGTGGGAGGCTAAAATGAATGAAAATGCTCTGTATGCCCCCAAGGCTCATCTCATTGTCGGAGCCAAATTCATGGTGTTAGCTCATATTTAGTGATGGGTTGCTGTCATCCGAGCTGGGTACATAGATAAGGTAGGTAGACATATGCAAGTACACATACATTAGATGGTCCTTACCTTTAAGGAGTTTACAGGTCACAATCACATGAGATAAAAAAGAAGCACATTTCGTTCTTTGAGACATGTTTTCTCTGGATGTCACGAACTCACTCTGTACACTAGGCTAGCCTCAAACACATAGAGATGCACCTGGCTCTGCCTCCTGGTGATGGGATCAAAGGCATGCGTCACCACTGCTGTCCACCTAGAGAAACACATCGCTCTATGTTTAGTGTTTTCTCATGACCTCCCTTAGCTCCATTCATGCCCATTGTCATACACAGAATTCTGTATTATAAGCTTAAAGGTCATTTACTTGGTTTCCTTCACTAACCTTTGAGGTCAGAGTCAGTGTCATGTTCTCCACTGTGCATATGAACAGTTTAGGAAAACCCTGCCTGATCCATAGAAGGGACTCAATAATTTTTGACTAAATATAAAAAACACCAAAATGCAATCAATTAGGTTCTGTAATTCCCATAAGTCAACCATGATTCATAGTGTTCAACTTTCTCTTGGTGTCAAATGTTTGACAATCATTTATCTTCCTTTTATATTTTACTGTGCCTGTTCTTAAACACTTTAAGATGTACCAGTCTTTGGGCTGGAACTAGGGTTTAATTTAGAGGCAGATGGGTTTCTTTACTTCATGAATCAAACCCAGATATTTCTTAGTACTGTGCATTAGCCCTTTGACCATGGTCCACTGAAATCATTGAGAGTCCCGTATCCCACAAGACAGAGCAAGGGTTTCAAACCAAGATGGTGTAAGTCAGGAGATGACTGCTTGGTAAAATTATAGAAAAATTAGAACATGAGCTTAGCTTTG